GTTCTGGCTGCAGCTGAAGTTGAGCAGAACCACAGTTGGTTGTGTTAAAGAGTAGCTTCGGATAGTGACTTTGGAATTCATATTTCTGCCATATTATGAAGTAATTTCTGCTAATACTGTAAATGACTTGCCTAATATTTTAGTCTTGATATCCTCTTGTGAACATGTGTGTTCTGTATGTATGTTTTTCCAATACTAATCATGGAACCTTGAATGTTGAACAATTCTGTGCTTGTAGCAGACAGTCCTGTTGTCTTCCCCACACTCTGGGACTGGAATGTAGACCCTGGTCTCTCTCATGAACATGTTTTTCCACCCTTCAGAATTGGTTTCATGTCTTCATCCTGTCCTACTCCTGCTCTCCTTGTTCTTGTCTAGTTTTTAAGCAGATTGTTTTGCTTGTAATGCTTCCAAAGTGACTGCTCATACTGTAGATTCAAGGAAGAATACCAAACAGTCAAATGGATAAACAGACAGCTCATTTTGTCACTTCTAATTATAACTGGTGACAAAAGAAAGAGAAAACTCTTTTGTCAGAAATCTTGTAAGTGGACTTGGATTTGGATTCAAGATGAAAATTCAAACTCTTCTTTCTGAGATTTAGTTTGCTCTTTTGTAGAGGAACAAAGATACAGTGAGGATGAGATGTTTCTTTGGTTGCACTTCCATAACTGGCATTAAGTTCATCATGGAGTGGGTCAGTTCTCCACCTCCCACCTGCATATTCCTGAAATGCATTATGTTTTGCAGGGTGGTAAAAACCTCTTGAACAACACGTGTTCAGGATTTGGATCAATTTCCTTTATCAGACTGACCATTCTGCCTAGACTGCAGATGTTGGGACAAGGGACCAGGGCAGACCTGCATGCCCAAAAGGGCAAAACTCTCATTTCCAGCATGAACTGGACTTGATTTATGCCTGTTGTGAAACTGTGCCCTGACCTTTTTCTAAAGAGTACAGCTCTGTTTTTTGCTCGATGTGTGATGACTTACAAGCAAAGAGTGAAAGCAGCTTTTCTGGAGACTAACTTAAAAGAAAAAAAAAAGTTTTTCTGGCAAGTTCTTGTTTGCCAGCTCCTTTTGCACCAGCAATGATTTTTGACAGTGCAAATCTCCTATTTTACATGTCTGAGAAAAGAAGCCAGGTTTGCTGGGTGGTAAATTGCCCTGCCTCTGCTCAATTCGTATGCAGTAAAGAAAGTACTGCTTAACAGTAAATGAGTGAGCACTAATGCTACATTAAGAAAGGATTTCCATCAGTGACTATGGAAATCAAATGCTAAGTTTAACATGTCTTTTGCAATCTACCAGCTGTTTAGCCATGCCACTGCAACACATCTGTCTAGGCTATTCATAGCAGCTGTCCCAGCAAGGTTGAGAGCACTGAGGTACATTTTTGGGGATTCTCTTTCAAGAGAAGGAGAGCTGTTTTGTTCCTCTTAGCTTTGTTGCTTTCCTTTGGAGCTCGATAGAAGCAGAGCACATGCACTGGGTAATAAATGCAAGCTCGTTCTGTCTCCACAGGGTCCTCAATGGAAGGAGCCCAGTAAAAAGTGTGTGGTCTCAACAAGAAGTAGCTTTGAAGACAGGTTCCTGGTCCTGTTCCCAGTTCTGTGTTGGCTCATTTGTAAGCCACGTAACCCTTCTGTCTTTACTCCATTTTCCCCTGCCTAAGTGCTATCAGACAGGAATTCTTGACTAATCAGGCATTTACTATTTCTGAGGTGCTTTAAAAAAAAAATAGAGGGATTTAATTGGAGAAAGAAGTTGGGGGGCTTATATATTTTTTAAAATATCTCCCAACACCAGTGCCTCTTTTGTGGACATCTTTTAACCTCTGTTTTTTATCACGTGAGTTTTACACACCTCAAAATAGCCAAATGGCATATATCAGAAATCCCATGCTGAAATTCTCAGGCATTTGGAACAAGACTAATCCCAAGAGCTTCAGGTGCTGCCTTGGGGTTTTTTTGGGTTTTTTTTTGTGCCAGGTAGAGCTCAGTGCATACATTGCTGTCTTGCGTGTGTCTCTTCCCTCTTCTTTTGTTTGTGAATGTGTTGTGTTTCTCATGAGCCTTACTGTGTTAAACTTGGGTGATCAAAATGCTGCTTCATAGTAATTGTATTCTATGATAGCATTTTTTAAAAGTTGATTTGAGGGTTGTGTTCTACATTGATGACTTGGCTTGTAAACAGTACAAGCTTTTGGTTGAAGGGAGGAGCTTTCTCTCTTACCTAATGTTCGTGTGCGATAAAAAATGTGCTTACAAGCTGAAAGGATGTGCACAGACTGTCAGCCTTGAATCGGTGGTGTGGGTGGTTCTTGGCAAAGCGTGTGAGTCTGAAGCTGGTGAGGAAATTTTTAACCATGGTGTCACAAACTTGATGTGTTAGCAACAGATGTCATTTTCCTAAGCCTCTGCTCTCTTAGGTAGCACAGCATGCAGGCAGTGTTCACAATCTGCATGCAAGACACATGGTGGTTGATGGCATGAAATCATGTCTTTTAATACACACTGGCTAGAAGAGCACCTTGGTGTCACATTGTGAAGCTTTGGCTTTGAGGCTTAATTACACCAAGACGATGGAGCTCGTGTTGTGCATGGGAAGTTTGTTTGAGGAATGTCAATGAATTGAAAGTCAGAGCAACCATTCTGTTAAAACAATACTTAGCTCTTGCCCCATGTGGTTTTATTTGAGAGTGGAATGCTGATGTGAGTGAAGTGAAATAGGAGAATTCTGTGCTTTCCATCCTTTTTGTTTCATCTTTCCATATGTGCTGAAAAATAAAATTCAGAAGGGGCGTAAACTCCACTGCACTGATAGGAACTATTTCCAATTAGTAAGATAAAATGTGACTGCTCTGCTAGTGCACAAAGCCTTCATCTGAATTGAAGTCTCTTGGGGCAGAGGGCTGTGTAATGAACTAGGGACACTTAAGCCTGAAATGTTGAAGAAGGTGGTAGTTCCAGAAAAATTAAGGGGGGAGTAACATAAAAAAAATTGCATTGATAGCAGTTCAACTTAAGAAGGAGAGAGGTGTGTCAGGCCTTGCTGGCTCACTCTTATGGTCTGTCGGTATTGGAGCATCACCAGCATGCCTGAACAAAGAAACAACTCGCACTGGTCCCTCAGCTTTTTGGTGAGGTATAGATTTATTGGCATCTGAAGTGGGGAGGGAAAAACCAACAAAAGCACCAAAAGCTGTGGCTTTGGATGAGTCAGCATTTCCATTTGACATGATCATCCAGAGATTTTTGTAACTCATCCAAAAAAACCCCAAAGAAAAAACAGCAACCTGGGTCTCAGCCTGAAATTCATTTGCTTTGCAGAAACAAGAGGTTTTGAGTTATTCAAGTGCAAATTTTTCTTGAAGAATATTGTATGTAAAGCCTTTTTTTTGCATTTGTTTATCTCCAAAACAGGTTCATTTTTTAAAATGAAAACTTGAGCCTTCGGTCCCTCCTGTGGACAAATAGCCTTACACAAGGTCTTGTTTCATTTTAGAAAAATGAATTGCTGCGCCGGTGGGGTAGTATTTGATTGCTTTAAAAGTTCCTGTCAGTGTTTTATTTTTGGTTTTGATTTTGTTTGTGGACTTGCTGTGCCTTTTGCCCGGCCGTATTTAGTCTGCATACTAAATGTTAGTCTACCCAAACACTTTGTGCACTTAGCTTTTATTCCTTTTTTTTTTCCTTTCTCTTTTTTCTTTCCTTTTTTTTTTTTCTTTTCTTTTTTTTTTTTCTTTTGCTTTCACCCAAATGTATTTTAGACCGAGACAGACTTTGCTCCGATGGGCCGGATTTTAGTCCGTGCACTAAATTTTAGTCCGCAGACTAAAAATAATCCGCGGATTATTTACTAAATTGATTCCCTCACTGAGAACTACAGAGACTTTAAACTCCTGCTGAGACGTACGTGCAAGGGGCTTCACGGCTCATAAGTCCCACTGTCTGTCCATCCTCCCGCCCCTTCCCACCACGGAGCATCAGCCCAGCATTGCCTTGGCGTCGGTGCCCCGTGGCAGGGAAGTGCTGGCGTAGCCATTGCCGTGAGCGGCAGCTGCTCGTGTAGTTCTCGGTGGGTGAATTGGGCAGCTTTCCCAGGGGAACTTTGCTGAATGGGAAGAGCTAAAAGACCATAGAGGGCTTTGCTTTTATTTCTTAGGGTGTTATTCAAAAGGGAGGCGGGAGGGGACAAAATTGAGGAGAAAAAAATTTCTTAAGTAACGGGTGCGACGGGTATGAGGGGGAATAAACCCACAGTAGAGAGAAATTTAGTCCATACCCGCACTCCTGAGGTGGTACGTCCAGTTCCTGAAGAATCCTAAAGAGATAATGCCAGCAAACAAAATCCAGTGGAGGGGGAAGTCAATCCAAAATGGAGAATAATCCGCGGCGGCCTGAGGTACTCGTAGTGCACACAAATTAAAAAGATCCAAATTTAAAGTATAGATCTCAGATTTTTACCTCGTCTTCAGCACAAATTACAAATTGCTAGGGATTTGGGGTTTTTTGAGAAAAACCCAAAACCGTCCAAAAGTTTACATTGTGTGTCTGGGACAGATTTACAAGTGGGATGCATCTTTGGAGACATACTAATCTGGCCACTTGGTTCTGTGGACATTTATATCCAGGACCGAGGACTGAAAATTCCTTATTATGGCAATTTCAATTACCCTTTTAGTTCAAGTTAGAGTTTTGATTTCAATTTTTTTTATTTTTTTAGTAAATGCACTGGCATTGGAACATAAATTTCATATAGAAATGTTTCTATACTATGCCTCACCATTGCACAATCGATTTTTTGGCATACACTGTGGTGAAGTTGGACTTGCTGCTATGGAGACTGATGTTTAAAGTTTCTAATTGTATAAACATTTACTATGTCCCCCACACCATGGATTTCTTATAATATTGGCTATATTTTTCCTTGCTGGACTATTCTCTTTTGGATTGACTCCCCCTGTTTGGATTATTTCACTGCATTATCATCTTTAGGACTCGTCAGGAACAGGACATTTCACCTCAGGAGTACGGGTATGTACTTAAATATTTTTTCAAATTACTAGGCCTAGCCTTGAAAAAAAAGGAGACAAATGCTAGAAGTGGAATAATTGAGTTTAAGCTACATCATTTAGGCAGCAGCCAGGCAAATGTAACGCAAGCTGATAGAGATGAGATGAGATGGGCACACACCCGTAACTTGCTTCATGTTAGTCACCACTTGTTGCAGGGGAAGGCTATGTGAGCCCTCCTAATGTATATTTTTCCCCCCCTTCCTGGTTTGAAGCAGTTAGGGCAGACTTTGGGAACTGCCTACCCCAAATGATTAATTCCAGATCCAAAAGCAGGCTGAGTAGTTGGGTTTAGGAAACATGTTAGGGTTTCAAGGACTTGAAAATGAAGAGTTTGGGTGGACAAGCAAGTACTCCTTTTACATATGTCAGATTTGTGACTGTCTGCCTACTAATTTTCTCAATATAAGGGCTTGTCATCTTTGCCTTAAGGAAATAAAATTGTTTTCTTTTTAAAATCTCTATAGTGGCTTATATGTGAGCTGTACTGAGGAGAAAAACACAGTTAAGAGTGAAGTACTAAAGTTTCAAGCTGTGATAAATCAAGCTTGTTAAAATATTACTGTGAAGGTGCATGAGGGAGACCTCAGTAATTTTACCTCTCGTTAAATACAGAACAACTTCACTTCTGTGGGTTTACCTCAAGACATACACATTTGTGCTTCTTACCGTGTGGAGGTGGGGGGAAGCCAGAAGGCTTTTTTTTTTTTTTAACTGGAGACAGTCTTGGATTTTGTTCTGGTCAGGCTGTGACTTGGGAGTAATAATTGCATCCTCTGTGTGCTGTGGTCACAAGCTCTGCAGGCTGCGGGCACAAAGCAGCTTCTGCTCCCTTTTCAGTAGCACAGTGGTCAGTACAGGCTCTCTGCCAGCAGTGTTAAGCTAAAGCCTTTCTTTTTGTCATCATAGGCCTCGTGTGAAAACTTTTGCAGTTTGTTGTGCAATAACCTGGTACTAGGAATAAAGTCAGGTCTTCCTGTACATGGCTCCCTGACTTTGCTAGTCAGGATTCCTTGCCACTGTTAGCACAGGACACACTGCAGCAAACCCAGTGCTGCTGGCCCAGCTGGCTACCAGGGGCAGGAAATTTCAGCCCCTGCAGAACTTGGCTTTTGTGTTTGATTCTCATTCAAGAGAGCATATATGCCTGGTTTAAAACCTCCTAAAGAAGTGCCTGTGCAAGTTTTTCATCTGTGATTAACTAGCATGTCACGCACTGATTTTTTTTTTTTCCTTTCTTTCTCTCCTTGGTGCTGTGTGGCTTGAGTTCACACTGCACTGGTGCAAAGGCATTTTGCATTATCTCAATTTTTACCAAAAAATGCTAGCATCAGATCTTAACACTTGTGCCCACCCTACTCCCTTTACCTTAGACTGCATTTTACCTGCAGCATAGCAAGAGACAAGTGCTTGAGGAGGCCATCCAGGTCATGTACATGATTAACTCCTATTTTGCTTATAATGGATTGAGAAAGGAGTATAAGAGAGTGTGGTTAGCAGTGGGTAGAACCATTCTTAGAGGCTGAAAACAAAGCGGCAGTGTAGAACTGCTTATTGTAATCACTCAAAGTGATTTTCACTCAAAGTGAAAATCTGTTAGACTAAAATAGTTGGTTTTCTTAACACAATTTTCAGATGTCCTTATAAATACCAAATGTGCAGGAATTATCCCTATAAACTTACGGGAGTAGTTTGCCAGAATAAGGTCACAGAAGGAGTAACTTGCAAATTGGAGCTAGACATTTCCTGCACCCCACCCGTGCTTTCCTTGTTGTTCTCCAAAGCTTAACAGCAGCCTCCATAGCAACAGTCTGACCTGCCTGCCTGCAAAAGTCCATGTTAGAAAGACTTCCTTCGCTAGCCAGAAAAACCCCAACCCAAAACCGTAGCGGGGCTGTATTATAATTTTACATTCAGTGAATCCTGCTCATTTTGAACCTTCTTCCCCACCTTCACTCCACCCCATATGCATGGCTGGTAGCACCTGTGTGTGTTTGTCATGATTTTTTGAATGAGTTTCCCCTTCATTCTCAAAGTTGTTTTTCTGAGTGCGCTCTCATGAAGTCTCTTGCTGGCATTGCACCTTCACTCTAGTGCAAGGCGTTGCAATTAACCCTTTCTCAACCCCAGGAATGGATTTTCCCACACTTACTGCAGGACTTTGATTAGCACAAACCGCAAGTTTGTTCCAGCTTGCTGGGCAATGAGAGGTTTAATTGCTCTGACTTGCTTCTGGTCAACAAAGAGACGAGACCCAGCCAGACAACGTGTTTCTCCTTGCTTGTTCTCTCGTTGTCCCTGCAGGTCTTCCGGCCCCGCACTCCCCCCGAAGCGATTGCGCTGTGCAGCCGCCTGCTGGAGTACACCCCCACGGCCCGCCTGACTCCCCTGGAGGCCTGCGCGCACTCGTTCTTCGATGAACTACGGGACCCAAACGTCAAGCTACCCAACGGGCGAGATAAACCTGCACTCTTCAATTTCACCACTCAAGGTAGCCTGAGAGCCTTGAAGGATCCCTTCTGTAGGAGGAAGTGGTGGGATAAATGTTGGTAGTAGTGCAGATGTTACTCCCTTGGAAGTAAAAAATCTCTGACTGGTACTAAGTTTATTAAGTAATCAGATAACCAGCTGTACTTTTCAAAAGAGGAGGAAAGGGTCTTGAAGTTACAGAATTTTCAGAGTCTTGGTTCTTCCAATTCAGTTTCGCTGAGGTCCTGAGGGTGGTCGTTACTGGATTGCATCAGGAAGGATTACATGCTTATAGCATGTGTCTGCAGAGTATGAATATGAATAGCTCAGACTCTGCAGCTGGGCTGATGGCTTTGTGTGAAATATCCAGTCAGTGGAGCATGCAGGTTAGAATATCATTTGGAGATGGACCTGCTTCTTCATACCTGAAACACCATAGCCAAGTAGTAATGCATATTAGGTTTGGCAGGGAGGTTGCTGCCCATTTTAATTCTGGATGCAAGATAAATACAGATGCTTTACTGTCCAGATTTTACATGCTGTACAGTTCATCTGGCATTACACTGACTCAGTCATTTAGAAACTGTAAAAATAAATGTACAACTAACTTTCTTATTTGAAGCCAGGCTGGTATCGGATTTTAAAACCATTCATCTATTTTTTTCTACAGAAGTCAGAAATGTAAAACTGATACCCCCCAGAATAGTTTTGCCTGCCAAGACAGAACATGTGAGAAGTATGGCATACAAATATGCTTGTAATTAATTTTGGAGCACTTTTTCTGTTGTTTTTTTTTAAGTGATTAGCTGCCAACTCTCACCCTTTGAGCAAGAATAGTTCTGTATGCATTTTCTGTTGAAAGTTTAAAAAACACCTTTTGGCCCATTTAGCATCAATGTCATTTTTCAAACTCTTTAGTGCATGCCATGCCCTTCTGCCAAAATGTGAAACAACTCTCTCCTTCCACTTGTGGAGCCTTTTTATTAAAAAAAAAAAAAGGCATTTATGAAGCATAAACACATTAAAGTGGTCAAGTAAATAGCTTGTGCTTCCAGGTCACTGCCCTCTGTACTGATTTCTACATCTGTTGTTAGAAATTTAGTAGTTATGTTACAAGTGCTACCTTGTAGTCATGGATTACCTTTTGTTTTGCCCTTCTAAGGCCATCTTCAGCAGCTAAAATACTTTCAATCTCACTATCTTAAATACAGCTTTACCCCTGTTCTTTTTGAAAGTATTGATTAATTGTTTCATGATGACATTAAGATTGAACTTACCTACTACACAAAAACAAAGTTTTTTAAAAGAGTTGGAAAGCTCTATAGCTCTCAATTCAAAATGGTTTTTCTTAGGGGAAAAACAGATATCTGTATTGGGAGTGTGTCCCTGGTTCCCCTCAGATAGTGTAGAAGCTGCTGGATAAGCTACCCTAATGCTCAAGCAAGTTTAAAGCTCCTCTTTTGCCATCCTACGGAGCTCATGTGCCCTCCCTCACAAAGCAATTCCTGGGAATGGTAAGAGAAAACAGTTCCTGTGGAGCAATTTCCTTAAGATAAAAAAAGCAAATTTCTGTCATCTATGGGTGCTGGTTTTACCATCTGTAAGGGAAAGGCAGGACACAGGCTGATCATTAATACATTTCCAAACAAGCTTTGTTACAGGTGACCAGTCAAACTCAAAAAAAACCCAAATCAGAGTTATTACTGAATACTTCAGTACATTGCTTTGCACAGTGATTGGAAGAACTTTGTAGTTAATAAATGTACAGCAGTCCTGACTATGAACTCAAGATATACAAGAAGCTTTTGCTCCTTCTGTTACTACTGTTCAGTCCTTGTTCTCTGGTCTTTACTGTGCAAGGTTCCATCAACTTGGCTGCTCTAGAGCAGAAATCCCAACTGGGAAACAGATTGTTACATGGATAATGAGTCACGTTAAGTCATCTGTGGTAATTTAAAAAGTAATGAAAGACAATTTTGTTTTAAATAGCATTTGTTTTCAACAGGCAATATTAAGTTCTAGATGTGTTTGATTTGGCTGTATCCAGTTGCCTGAAACCCATGAAGTAGGAGGTGACTGCAGAGGGCTTGAAGGCAAAACTGTTAGAAATGACAAGATAAATCTGACCATTAAGGCATTGGACTGATTTTCAAAAAGAAATTAAACATCATACCAAATCTGCTGACCTGAGCACTGATGCTACTCAGAGTCTAGAAAAAGAGCAGTGAGGGTACATGGAAGATCAAGATCATGGTCTTTGGCAGCCAGCTGTGGTTGTGGGGCTTGTGGGTGTTTATCTTAGAGATTAGATCTGTTGAAGAGACCATTGTCATTTGTAATGTCTTGCCTGTAAGTTTCTCCTAATTTGTTTAAATTAGCATTATATGCTAATTGGGTTTTGAAAAAGTTATTTTGGCTAAGGAAGTATCTCTATCAGCCACAGAGCTGCAATTCAGTTAGGCTTTTAGATCTGCAAGATAAAAAGCATTTTTTCTCTTAGAAGCCACATTTTCAAATAGTCTGTGAAATGACTGCCATTTCCTAAACTACTTGTAACATATCAGCAATTGTGCTGCATCACAAAAGTTAATGTCACTCCATGTTGGCCACTGAAGACTGTAAAATTATTTCAGTGATTCAGCACTTAGGAGTGGTTATCATGGTTCTCAAAGATAAATCACTTTTTTATTGTAGGGGGAGTGCTTTGGGATTTTTGTTTGTTTATATTTTTAAGCACCCTACCCTGTGACCCTTATTTATTTTTTTTATTTAGAGAGATATATATGTATGTGTTTATGTGTATATATAATGGAAGGGTTGTTGTTGTGACCAAAAAAAAAACATGGTAGAAGAATATTTTTTCTAGGGAATTCTTGGAGTGTTGATATATCAAGTAAAATAATACTGAAAAAAAAACCACTGTGCTGTTTCCCAATACCAGGCATTTTCTTGTGTTTGGGGAATGAAGGTGATCTGGTCTTCTAGTAAAACTGGACATTTTCATTCCTGCTCCTTCTTGGAGATCTTAAGTGACTGCAAATGGTATGATTTGATCAGCAGAAAGCCAGAGATGTTCTCCCAGGTGATGTGGATGGGAGTTGGGTCTCATAAATGAATTGCGATAGCTGCTCTGTTCACCTCATGATATTGGAAACTTCTGTGTGGGTTGCCTTGGCCACAATAGCTTCTTGCAGCTGTACTGGTTGTAATTAACCCAGCCTTGAGTTGCACATTTGGTTTCCATAACCAGGCTACAGTTGAACACCCTGCCCAAATACTGTGGAGGAAATCACTAAGGACAAACATTCTCAGTATTTTGTGGACTGCAGATAATCACAGGTCAAGCTTTCTCCTCAGTATTGCCATGTTTCATCCTTAGAGATGGAATAGGTGCAAAAATACATTATAGCAAAAATTCAAACAAGTTCTCAAGCAAAGCTGCTATTAATCTTCAACCAAAAGAGTCCACTTTGTTTATATCTCCTCTGAATTGGCCTGCTCCTCTTAAGTTCAAGATATTAAGAGTATGCTGAATTAAAGAAACTTCATATCAAGAAAGATAATGTGAGGTTTGAGAAGGGAACAGGATCAGTCTTCTACTCTTCATGAAAGCTCCTTAAGGTAGCTTCAGAGAAATGGTTGCACTTGCATTAAACACAACAAAAAGTGATTATTATTGCCATAATACAAAAAGAGGTGTTCTGACAACATAAGATGAAGGAGGAATGAGAAGGGGGTCAAAGTGCCCTTGCAAGGGTGGTGTTCTGTCTGATCACCTGGTTCTTGGGCTACAGCAGCACTGACAGTCTGTAGCTGCACCTCGAGGCATTGTGCAGCACCAGAAGGTAGCAAGTGTCATGGGGCTTCCTTGTTTTAGTTCTGCTTTTGTTTGGATCACAGCCCCATATTGTTTTGAGTGATGAGTAGAAAATAATGCAGAGGTGATAGAAATTTTCAATGGAGCAGTGTAAAGAGTAGGTTCCCAGTAATAGCAGATTTGGAAAAAAACACTAAGGGAGCAACATTTTCTAGCACAAAGCAGCTAATACCCATGGTAGTATTGAAGTATAGGTTTATAACTGGTGTTCCACTTTGACATGTAAGGATTCATGTTTCTTCAGTTTATTTTTCCATTTAAAATGGAAATTCACAAATTCTTCATAACATTATGAATATATGAATTCTGAATTACTTCTGCATGAATTGAGGATTTTGTATTTGTACAAGTGCTGTGAGTACTGAGGCTTTCTAAAAGGACTGGCTAGGTCTGCTTAGACCTGAATGCAGAGATAGAGTAGATAGGTTGCAGGTAGTGTAGCAACCTGCTTGCATTCATAAGAGCTGAAATACCATCTTAAAATGTGTAGTAATAAGAAGCTTGTAATCAGGGGAGTCTTCTGCCTCTTGCCCTCCCAGCAGTAATGAAACTTAATGTAACAGCAGAGAAAAAAAAAATCATCAAGTGGAATGCTGCTCTCTGTAGGCCCCGAGTTTAAAGCTAGCATTAAAAAATAGCAATAGCCTCTTAAAAATGAGCCCAAATAATTTGAGACTTTCCAAAAGCGCCTTACTGAACCTATGCCACGATTTGGCCGGGCTTCTGTACAGCCTGTGCTATCTGGAGGTCTTGCGTAAAAAGCTGTCTGTTCTCCTGTTCTCAGCTCTCCTCCAGATGACCTCCTGGAGCTCCAAAAATCATCAGTCTCCTTCCGTGAGGTGACTGTTCACATCCTTTTTACCGGATGTTGCTTTCTCAGGAGACAGCCAGTCACTCCTGTTTCTGAAACAAACAGGACCTGTCTTGTCTCGGCTCAGTCCCACCTTCTGTGAGGCACTAGATTCTCTTGAAAGGGTGCCAGAAAATTGTCATTTGTTGGCAATGTGTTGCCCTTAATCCTCCCACAGTCGTGGCTGTAAGATGCCTATTTCTCATTCTGATACACACTGAAGCTATATTAGATTTGGAGCCTAAAAGACATGACTATTTTTTCCCTGGTTAATGTCTTCGGACAGATTGCATCATTTTGTTGTCCATTTAAATTGCCCACCTGACCAATTCCCTTTGCCTTTCCCTGTCCTTTTAAAGGATACGTTACCTCTTCTTGGCCTTGCTCAAGGAGACTGCTGTGAGAGATTGGTCTTGGGTTCCTGGGTCCTTGAGAAAAAATGATGCTTGAGTGAGCCAAAGAACTAATCCCTGAAGCTCTTGGAGCAACTGTTGCAGCTGCTTGCTTGCTGAACCAGTGCCCAAAGCAGCACCACTGTTATCAGCCTTCTCCCTGGGACTGATTGCAGGTGGGCTTGTGAAGAAGGGGATCCTTCTCCAGTGCTCAGAAGGAAACAGCATTATCAGGCCATTGACAAGGTACAGGCTTGGCTGGTTCTTTGCTCACTCCCAAGCCACTGTCTTTCTCTAGGAAATTACTCCTTTGCACCACTATCTGTAGTTTTGGCAGTCTTGCTCTGGAGACTGCCTTGCTAAATATCGCTGTGGTTTCCTCTTGCTGGTTGGCAAAGAAGAAAATGTAACGTGAGCTTGGGCTGTAAGGGCACGTGTTTGACCTGAGGTGCCGTTACAGGGGGAAACCCTAGGAGCTGATCCTGCATGTGGAGCACTTTGTGGATGATGAGCTAACTGTTTGTTCCACCTCCCCTCCAGAACTGTCAAGTAACCCATCTCTGGCTTCGGTCCTCATCCCTGCTCATGCCCGGAACCAAGCAGCTGCTTCAACCCCTACAAATGCTACAGCGGCCTCAGGTGAGAAAGTGCAACTGCCTGCCTCCCTCCCTCCTCATCCTCCCTCCCGCTGCCCAGGCACCTTCCCTCTGCCGAGGCCCACAAGCCACCTCAGCCCACAAAGTGAACTGGGAGGAAGAGATTGGTTTAGTATCACCCGAACCTTGGTCTTGGTAGGTGGTCATTTGTGTGCTAGCTGTGGTCACCAGGCCAAATCTCAACCCAAGCCACTCAAACTTGTATTTGATTTGTTGGTCCTTCTCACAATCGGTTAATTTGTTGGTCCTTCTCACAATCGGTTTGCACCTAATTTCTGTGCTCTGAGCCATCCTGAAATTAACTCTGAGTTGGTGAATGAGTTGTGATGCCTAGAAAGAAAAGAAGCAGCTAGCTCAGAGCATGTGGCCTCCGTGTAGTGTGGATGAAGAGGATTTTTCCCTGAGGGCATTGGCATCTAAAAGTCTAGTTAGGGAGTTCAGTCAGCGTGCTCACTGCCTCATCTTTGTAGTTGCAGTTGCTTCCTGCTGAGTTTGCTTGTGTCATCTTCAGGCACAAGGCAGATATTTTTGGGTTTTGGCCAGCACGGAGTGAATTTTTTGTTTGCCTCCTGCTCTCTCTGGTTTCTGTCAGAAACCTTTTAAAAGCTCACTGTTGGCCTTTAGCCACTCCATATTGTATTCTGTTTCCAGTGAAAGTTTTAACACCTGGTAATACCAGTTGGGAGACTCCCAAAGAAACTCCCAGGTGCTGCAGGATGTGGCAGAGGTGATTCAGTACATGGCATTCTTCCTCTGAGTCAGCCCTGATTCAGCACACCAGAGGCTTTCTCGGGGCTTGGGCAACCAAAGGCAAGTCCTGCCTGCACATCAGCCCCAGCCCACAAGGGCTGTCAGCCCTTTTGCAGTGCAGGACACTTCCTTAGCGGAGGATAGCTGATGAGGACAAGGCCTGCTTCAAAAGCTGCTCTTGAAATGTGCGGGAAAGCATTTGCTGGTTGGTGTGCTGGACAGTTACCTGATATTAGATGCACTTGGTCCAGCCAGTGCTGTACAGAGAGAATTTTCATACTCTGGGACAGATGCAGCTAGGTTTGAAAGATGAGATTTCTCTCTGAAATTGCAGTAGCAGTGGATTAAAGGCACAACTTGTAACATTTATGTACTCTGAATTTAGGAGAAAGCAAAACTGCTATTTTCAAATTTACTGTTTGTTTCATACATTTGGCAGTATTTTGCAAATAGTCATGTTCTCTGTTTGCCTCTTATGTGCATCTGTTGCTCAACAAGAAGTGAGAAAACAGATAAAGTAGTAAAAGTGATTTAAAAGTATAAAATACAAACGTGGAAAATTATTTTAAGCCTTTCTGAAAAATATTGTTTCACCTAATATCCCTTTCATGCCTTTTAAGGAGTTCTTTCCACCAAGACCCAACTCTTGAGGAATTAATGGGGTTAAGAAATCTGTTTTCATTCAGCTTCCACTCAGCCCTTTTCAAGGGCTTGTATAGGGAGAAAATGCATTAGTCCAAGTCCTAAATGGGAAGTACTAAAAAAAAGCACAAAGCTAAAAAACCCCAACCCATCCCATATTATTGATGTCAACATTTTTAAAGCTTCTGTTTGCAAGCACTGCACTGAGTTGGGATATGTCCTCCTATTTGTGGTTAAAAACCAAAAATAATACCCTTGCTGATTAGAAAGAAATTGTGAAATTAAGTTTAGTATTGCACAGCTCTGGCTTTCAACAGTTGGTTATTTCTTACTGACATGCGTTTCTCACAGCAGGTGGTGGGAATTTCATCAGAGTTATGATGTTTAGCATTAGGTCCTGTTGAGGTTCTTTTAATCTGTTTTGCTTTGCATGCTGATGCCATGCTTACAAAGAGATTTTCATACAAGGAGTCCCTTCTTTCTCTCTACCCCCTGCACCTCCCAGAGCAGTAAATGTTAAGTTCCTCAGTAACTGCTAAAGCAGTGTGGGAACAAGTCTCCCAACTAACCCAGGGCATCCCGATAGGCCAGGAGACTTCTCTGCAAAATGTTTGTGTGAGTAAGCAGTACAGGTTCAGAAACGGCTTTTCTGAGTGACGATGATGCAGCAAAATGTAGCTCTCAAAGCAATAAAGGGAAGAGCAAATATATCTGTAATTTGCATTACTGGTGCATAACGTGTGCCTCTCTCTGGCAAGCACTGTTAAACAGCCACATTTGTTGTCAATTTCCTCTTCTCTTGAGGCCAAGCTGTACTTGCTCTAGTAATGGAACCTGGCTTTGCAGTGGGAGTGTGTAGCCTTGCTGCTCTGGCATTAGTAAATTCTCCTAAACATTTATGAGAAGCACTCTGACATAGTGGCATGTCTAAAGCAAAGTGCAGGGAAAAAAAGATGAGATTTATTGGCCCCAGCTTGAAATGATGCGCTAGCTTTCTGTGAATTTTGCTGGCCATTGATGAAAAATGCTAGTGCAGTTGTATTCCCAGGGATGGCTAGAGGAGGAAGAGGATGCTCTCATAACTGTGCAGCCACAGCATCTGAGGGGAGCCTGCAGACCAAGCTGAATGCAATGCATATCTGCTTGTGTGACTCTCTTTTTCTTCTGGATCAGCTAGCAGTAGTAGCTACCTCTCTGTTAGTCAGCATTAAGATGGGAAGAGCATAATTGCCATCTGCAGGGAAGTTGTGCCAGCAGGGATTCTGGGGTCATCGTCTTGGGCATCCCGCTGTGTTGATCCCATGTAATCCCAAATGCAATGGTGTGACTGAACTTTCAGCAACAAAACAGATTAGAGCTGGTGTTACCTGCCAGTGTCTCATAGTTGAAAAACACCACAGTGCTCCATGAAATAAGATTTAGTGCATTTGTGGTATTCACATTGAAGGAATTTTGAAAAACTTGAATTCCTTAACCAGGAGAAGATGGGCAAGCAATTCTCTCAGAGCTCTACAAGCTCAGAACAGGGATGAATCCATGACAAGAGAAGTAAAACTTGCACATTTTACCAGGTTTGCTCAGAGTCTGGACTTCTATATCCATAGGCAGGCACAATATAAAAGCCAGGCTATCCTCCTCCTTCCACTTGTCTCCTCAGTTGTCCTGTGAGGATTCCCAGGCTGGTGGTGGCTTTGTTCTTGTATCTTGGCAGATGAGCAGCACAGCCTGTCAGCATCACAAATGCACCCAGCTAATGCTGTCAGCAGTGCTAATGGGCTTTCTCAGTCTGAGCTGGCGTCTCTGTCGCTCTCTGAACTGTAGCCCTGTCTTTCCCTTTCAGGAGGTTTTTAAGGAGTGTCACGTACCCTCCAAGAAAGCTGAGGCACTCCTTAGAGGGAAAAGCTGAATTGGAAGAAGTTCTCTATAATGATGAGAGAAGTTTTTGCCCTCTATTTGAAAGAACTTTTGGAAGCAGCTAGCACTTAATGACACTTCTTTGCCTGCACAGGCGGAGGGGTCAGGCAGGGGTCCAGGACAAAGAGGCTGCCCTGACCTTGAGCTGGGCACTCGTCTGTCCTGTGCCACAAAGCTGCATGCTAGCTCCTAGCTGTGCTCCCCAGCAGGGCTTTGCTGTCCTCTGGCAGCATTGCTGAGGGCCTAGATTTCCTTCTCTTAGGCCCAAATACAGATTTTTCACGATGAGAAATGAATGTCCAGAGAATCTCATACTCCATTTGTGCTCTTTTTCTGGTGCTTCAGCAAAGCGATGCTGGAATAAGTGCCCCTTTGTTCCTCATGGCCTGTTGAAGCAGAGTCAACAAATGAGCTGAAATGTTAAAATACTGCATTTTCTTGCAGGCTAGGAGCCAGGGCAGCCTTGAGCTCGCTCTGCACTCCATCTCAGCCTGGGGGGACTTCTGTATATATGTATATATTGTTGTAAGAAGCCCCAAGAAAATGTTCTTGGCCTGCATCACCTGATTTATTTTAACATGTGGCATATATATTTCTCAGGAACTCCCCTGTTATAGTGATGACAGAAAAGGAGCATATGTTACATGAAATAGCTCCATCCTCTCCTCTTTTTTTTTTATCTCTATGTAGTAGCAATGTAATGATAACAATTTCAGCTTCTACTGTCTTCGGGAAATTGAGATCAAAAGACATGTTTCATTTCAGCAAATGAAATACGAGCACTTTTTGTAGACATACAGAGAAATCCTCTGCCAACAGTCCAGACTCCAGCTGGACTGCTTGCATCAGGCACTGCCAGCAGATGTTGCATTACCTGCAGTTTATCCATACTTGAAAATTGATCTAGAACAGGCATAGTGAGAGTTTAAAGTGTAGAAACTATTATCTGGCTAGCTGGGTCACTTCTGTTTTCTGTGGTCATTTTTGGTCTGCATGCATGTGGGATTTGGGAACTGCTCCTTCAGGGAAATTCTCCATGTAGGAGGGCGTCTCTCTCCTGCAAGACCAGCTTCCCACGTAACAGTGGTACTGTCGGGATGCTGCCTTGGTGCTTTAATTGCCTGAGGGGTTTTTTTTGTCATGGTGGTCATTCCTTTGTAAAGGAAGGGATGCAATCAATTTGGGGTGAGATGAAAGGGAATCAGAAACTCCCAGGGCAGTCATCTGGCATCCTCTGCCCACAGGACGATTTGTCTTTCTTCCCACACATTCCTTGCAGCATTTCCTTTTCAAATAGGCATCACCCTCTCTTCCCACTTGTCAGTTGTGTTTCTGGATGCTGCTGATTGTTTGATTTCCTATTTTTGTCGCTGTTGTCAATGTTACTTAATTTGTGACTCAGCAAATGCTGCCCATTTCTAGCCGGCATGTTGGCAGACTGGAGGGAAGGGATGCCATCCAGAGGGACCTTGGGAGGCTTGGTGGGGGGGCCTGTGTGAAACTCCCAGAGTTCAACAGGACCAAGACCTGTCCCTGGGTCAGGGCACCCCAGGCACAAACACAGGCCAGGCAAGGAGTGGATTGAGAGCAGCTGTGAGGAGGAGGATTTGGAGGTGTTGGTTGATGAGAGGTGGGACATGAGTTGACAACATGTGCTTCTAGCCCAGAAAGCCAGATGTGTCCTGGGCTGCATCAAAAGCAGCTTGGGCAGCAGGTCAGGAGAGGTGATTCTGCCCCTCAACGCTGGTCTGTGACACCCATCTGAAGGGCTGTGTCTGGCTCTCTGGCCACCAGCATAAGGATGGGAACCTGCTGCAGCAAGTCCAGAGGAAGGTGATGAGATCATCAGGGCCTGGAGCACCTCTCTCTTGAGAGAGTTGTGACTGTTCAGCCCAGAGAAGAGAAGGCTCTGGGAAAACCATATAGCAAGCTTCCAGGACCTAAAGGGGGCCTACAAGAGAGCCAGAAAAGGTATTTTTACAAGGGCATGAAGTGTTAGGACATGGGGAAATGGGTTCACACAGAAACACAGGGTAGGTTTAGATTAGGAAGAAATTTTTTACTGTGAGACTGGTGAGGCACTCGCACAGGTTGCTCAGAAAAGCTATGGCTGCCCCTGGAACTGTTCAAGGCCAGGATGGATAGGACTTTGGGAAACCTGCTCTAGTGGGAGGTGTCCCTGGCCTTGGCCGGTAAGTTGGAACTGGATGTTCTTTAAGGTCCCTTCCAACCCAAAGCCGTCCATGCTTCAGTTTCTTGCCTTTGTTCATGGCTCTGGTCAGGTAAGTGTGGCTGAAGAGGAGGGGGTTTTGCTCACAGGTGACTGCAGAGCATTGCCCAGCTCATCTGTGATGGAGAAATGTTACTGCACACCCAGCACCCACTGGTGTGTTTTGCCATGTCTGGTATTCCTGCTAGACATGCAGCCCTTCAGGCTGAGGTCACCCAATCTGTTCTTTCTTCTTAGAAACCTTTTCCGTGTGTCTTTTCAAATACATGGTTTGCCCAGTCTGCCCTCTTCTGTACCAAGATAATAAGTCTTTCTGATGTTCTTTCCTGTTGCAGTATCAATAGCTTTGCAGTTTATCTTAGTAAATCAAGTGCTGGGTGAAATGCATGACAGTCTTTTGGAGGAAACCTCATTTAATACCTCTTACCCATCCTGTATTTTACACGTTTAGGTGTTTACCCACTTATAGATAAGTATCTTACAGTCTTTCTGACTTGGCTAATTAGATACTATATAGAATGGTTCCAACTGAAATGGTGCATTTTTCCCTCCTACCTATTCTTCTAATACTAAGAATATATTTTTTAGAGGAAATACCTGATGCATGCAGCCTATGGAAACACAGTTACAATTAATTTCTTCTTGGTATTTCTTTGCAAACCCTGCATTTTCTTGAAATGCGCTTTGACACAAGCCCTTGATCCTGTGACCTGTCTCTCTGTGAAGCACTGTCCCTCCTTGAGAAGGTGTTGGAGGCATTTACTGCAGAGATGCAATCCTCTAACATATCATGTGCTTGCATAAACCTCATTACTGGCTTCAGGCCTTGATGTTAATCTGCTTCAGCAGTTCAGAGAGTGGCAGATCCAACTTGGGTTGAGCAACAGCAGCAGACTTGAAAGACTTTCTCAGGCAACAAGTGCATGAATTGCACATTGGCACACCAGCTGTTTCTGCCAGGAGAGCAGGCTTGGCACATTCCTTGTCTGTGCTCATTCACACAGCTAACAGGCAGACTTATTATAAGAAGGACTAACTAACAGTGTGAAACTTCCACATTCACCAGTGTGAAACCTCATAGTGACCACAGACACTGGTGTTGGCTTTGGCAATGCCAGTGTGCCTTGTCCCGCAGTTATGGGATGTCACACAAGCGACTTTGCACTGCACAGCTGGTGTTACAAACTGCAGAACTGGCTGGAGCCCAGCTTGCAGCCCTCAGCACTCCAAGTTGCTTTTGCCCTGCTTAAAGACCATCTTCCATCTTTTCCCAGATTGCATTGTTCCATCTGCATGTTCTGAAGTCAGGGCAGTCATCCTAACCAAACACCACCTTGGTGGGAGCTGTGGGTTTCCCCTTGTGCAGAACGTCATAGCTGTTGTTTCCAATGTGTCTCTGTTTTGGAGGTAATGCTGGTTGTTTTTTCTCTCTCTCCCCTTCTCGTCTTTTGTTTGCAGATGTTAACGCAGGAGAACGAGTTCAGACCAATAGTGTAGCTACAGCATCAGCCTCCAACTCCACCTGAACCAGTACCAAGCAGCCAGCTGCACAGGAGAAATCACCAGTAATTTGAGTCTTGCTCAGCAACACTGGTCACATTTGGAAAGAAAATTAAAAAGAGGAAAAAAAAATCCAACAAAACAACAAACCAACCAACCTGTTCATTTTAGTGTTCAATTTTTTATTATTATTATTGTTGTTCTTATTTAACCTTGTAAAATATCTATAAATACAAACCAGTTTCATTGTATTCTCACTCTGCAGGGTGTCCGGGGCAGGGGACTAGGTGGGGGGAGGAGGGAAAGCGGAGCAATACAACACACCAATGTCTCCCCTCGACAATCTCTTCATGTTGGAAGTTTGCTGTTGTGTACTTCAGAACCAGGACTCTTGCCTCATATCCCCCTCCCACAACAGAAAGAAGGAAAAAAACGAAACAAACAAATCCCAAACCTCATTCTCTGCTGAAGTTTTTTTTTTTTACCCTCTTTTTTTATTTTCTTTTTAAGTGGAGTTTCGGACTTTGATGTAGTGCACAGCTTGAATTTGGTCGGGAGCTTAGCAGGGGTCATTCAACAGAGCTCAGCATTTCTTGTCAGCAAATCCATATCCCAGGTTATCTGAAGAACTGCCCTGGCTCGGCACGGGGGGCAGGCGACGTGGTAGGAAAATAGGTTGCCATGGGGTGGGGGGGAGGGTTTGCCATGTGTCTAAGGCTTGAACCGCTAGCGGAAGCCTTTCATTTTAAAAATCAGTGCTAGTGATGAGGAAATCTGCAGCTTCATGTGGGAAAGTCTTGCCCGAGTGGGTGATATATAATATAATACACACACATGCACCAAGGGCAGCGGTCGGCTCTGCCGAGGCATCCCCTCTGCCCAGCCCGAGCTCCTGCTTTCCGTGTCTCGGGCCGGCTCCCAGCTTCAGCAGAGAAGAGCGGACGAACAAAATCCTTGGCAGGGGCAGGGGCCCAGCTGGTGGATGGATATTAAGGGACTTTTTGGGAAGTGGCCACTGTGAAAGTGTGTTTGGTTGGGTTTTTTCTCTCCCCACCCCTCTTTGGCTCTTGATTTGAACAGGCTTCCCTTTCCTAAGGTGCATACAGGAAAAGGACACCAGGGTTTATAATGTGAACTGTAACAGGCTACTGGTTTATTTTGTAATACTTTTTTTTTTTTTAACTGCAGTTTTAACTTGCAGGATGCCACATTCTCCGATAGTTCTGATTTTAAATCCACAGGTAGAATCTGTATTTAATTTTCATCTTTTTTAACCTCTTGCTTTTTCTTTCTTTTTTTTTGATCTCTATTTATTGATGCGTGTTGCCACGTCGCCATTATGTTTTTACTTTGGTAGAATATTAAAATACACATCCGAATGCTCTTGACGGTAATTTGTACCTGCTGACTTGTAGGAAAGCTGGCTCTATATGAGTGTGTGTGTATATATATTATATAAATATATACATGTATACATAGATACAATACTGCTTTTTTTATTTTGTCGACGATCTCGAATCAGTCTGACTGAAGCGTGAGGTGAATGCTTGTTCTAGTCCATCAGTTCAGGGTCCAGGTTTCCTCCCTGCGACGGCGTGCGGTGCGAGCATCCACGTCTCTCTTCCTGAAGTCAAAGCAATATTCCTTGCGAAAGGGTCAGGTGAGCGGCCGGACGCAGCCCCGGCGCGGAATCGAGACTTTGGGAGACCTGATCTTGTGCTAGGCTTGCGGTGGGTGTCCGCTCCAGCCTTATCCTTCTTCAGAGAAACTGTAGTCGCCTTTGGTGCTTACCGAGCCGTCCCTCGAGCTGCGGATCTCTAAGGCAAGCAGTTGCTTTTCGGGAACACGCGGAACCTCGTGTGGCCCGGGGGGAATCGGCAGTAGCGGCTTTGGAAGCTCGGCCGCCGCAGGGGCGGCAGGGGCTTGGTCACGAGCTCGGTGTGTTTCTTCTTGTACCTTTTATGCTGTTGACGTGGGATTTTTTGGAAACTGTCTCTTAGCAGCCCCAAAACTGTTAAAAGCTCTGCCCTCTCCCTCCTGCCTGGCACGCGGTGGGTTTGGGGATGCAGGAGCTGATTGAAGAGGTGAGTGACCACCTATGGTGAAACCGATAAACCCTCAAGTTATACCCCTCAGCACTTTGCTGTTGGGCACACACACAAAAAAAAAGGTTTTAAAGCTTTTTTGCATTCTGGCTGGCTGCGAAGGAAAGCACACCCACGTTGAGAAACAAAGCTTTCCAAATCCCTACCTGCAACTTAATAGAAAGGGCTGAAGAGCGTCTTAACGCTTGCGCTCGGCTAGTCAGTGTCCTGAAAGGTAAGTGAAGGGGCTTGGTTGACCCAGTGATCCAAATTCATGCAGGAGACTCAAAAAGTAGGACAGTGGCAGGGTATGGATCTGCTGTATAGACAAGACTGCTGAAGCATTGGCCACAGGCACTGTTATTTGGAGGCAGTAAATTACAGAGTCTTTAAAAAAAAAGTAATAAAAATATATCGAAGAAAAATGCTGCTTGTGCCAGGACATGTGGCTTTTCTTTTTCATTTTTTTTGTTAAAGACTGGCGGAGGGGAGTCAGAGCGTTTCTCTCTGGTTTTGTGGCTGTGCCGGCGTCTGTGTGTGTCTCGTGTGTGTGTTAGGTTGGGGGGAGGGTCAGGGGTGCCCCTCTGGTTTTATTTCTGTTTTCAAGGATCATAGCAGGATCACACACTCTTTTATACAAGTTAGATCCAGGTCTTTGAACAACCTTTTTTTGTAAATAAGAAAAAAAAAAGAAAAAAAAAACACAGAAAAATAACAACAAAAAACAAAGCTCCTCACCAAATTCAAGCTTGTACATTATTATTTTGGTTGTTTTTGAATTTTGAGTTTTATTGTTTTGTATGTAAATATGTGGACCCAGGAACTGTTATTAATGAGCAAAAAGTTACCGTTCAGGGCAGTGATTCTGTTTAATAATCAGACAAAATGTAGACGAGCTTTTTAAAGCCATATAGTTTTAACTCTGTACAGTAGGTACCGGCCTGTATTATTGTAACAATAACTCTAGCGATGTATAGTGTATCTATATAGTTTGGAGTGCCTTCGCTTCCATGATTTTTTGAATTTTATTTCCCTTTTATTTTTTTCTCCTCCTTCTTTATTAACAATGTCTCCCACCCCAAACCCACATCTTTGTTCCCCCCTCCCCACCCTGCTTTCTAACTCTTTGAGTGCTGTAAGGTTTCGGTGATACCCTGATCGGTAGCAGAACGAAAAGAAACAGTCTCCATTGTCATTCACTTCATTGGAGCCGTGGCTTTGTTCTGGGAGTCTCCAAGGTGCCCACCCTGCCCTCCTCCTCCCGCTAGCAGCAGCTGGTTTCATTCGGACCCTTGCCCTAGCAGCCCATTTAGATTTTGCTTGTCTCTCCCTTCAACCCTGCACCCAGGAGCATCTGGGCAGCAGCAGCAGCTTCCAGGAGGCTCGGCCTTCCCACCCTCCCTGCGGCTGTGCCGGGGGCAGTGGCAAGCGGAAAGGGCCCCCAGGGAGGGAAATCCCCACATCCTGCAGGGCTGCTGCGCTCGGAACCATTTGGCATTTGGGCATCGCTGTAGGAGACTGCTGCGGTGGTTTTTTCTGCCGGGAGGACTTTCTGTTCCCTTTCTTATCCCTGTTTTCCCCCCACATCCTTCCCCCAAGTCACTTTTGTTTTCTTGAGATAAGTTTAACATGACTCTTGATTTCTTGTGCCCAGCACGAAGGCCTTGTTTCTAAAACTAGTTTGCTTGTGTTTTACTACCTTGTTAGTATTCCACATAAGATTGTCTTGAATGGGAAAACACGTAACTCTTTACCAAACCAAAGGTTGCTGTTTTATTTCGAACCATCTCGTGTTCATTCCAGTGAAGCAGAGGCTGCACTTTCTTTCTGGTGACACGAAGGTCAGTGATGCCAAGCTGTTGGCGACAGTCTGCTCAGAGCTGTCCCTCTCTTCTTTTACTCTTTCGGGCTTCTTTTTTAACCCAGTGTGGTCTTGATGTGTCCTTTACGTCAGCCCTGCCGTAGTGGGTCCCTGAGCCGGGCTGGATCGCAGTCTGTCTCCCCTGATGGACGCTCCATCAAGACACTGGTGTTCTTTACTATTAAACTTACCTACCTTGCTAGGGAAAAAGAAAAAAATTACCTGAAAAAAGAAAATTGACTGGTAGAAGACCCCTGAACACTCTGTCCCCTTATTTCGAAGCCAAGCTTTACCTAAAATAATGGCAGGTGCCTGCGACTTGCAACCTAAAATTCCCCCCAGTTTTCAGTACTTGGAAAAGCAGAAGTCAAGCAGCCTGTCAGACTCGTACTCCTGTACTAGGAACCTCAGCCACCGCGGAGCAAAAGGAAAAGCCGATGAGGAAAAGCACAGTAGGGTATTCGGTCCGGGCTCTGCCTTCCGGAGACTGCCAGCGGGTACCCCTGGGGTGGCAGCTGATTTCCACGGGGCTCTCGGCCGGTTCTGGTCGTAGTTGGCTTCGTTTTGCAACACTGCAATAATGGCAAAACGACAGGAAAGGAAAACAGTACCTAAGGGGTTAGCTCGAGAAAAGTAGCTTCCTTGTGTTGGTCTTTCTCAATTTATTTTTAATATATATATATAAAATATATTTATATATATATAATTTGCTTGCCTGTAAAATTTGCGTTCATTAATGTGTTGCTGATGGATCACTTGGGCCTGTACACACCAATTAGCGTGACCACTTCCATCTTAAAAACAGAAATCTAAATATATATATATTAAGGACTGTGGGTTGTATACAAACTATTGCATACACTTGTGCAAATCTGTCTTGATTTAAAGGAAAAGCAAAACCTGTATAACATTATTACTACTTGAATGCCTCTGTGACTGATTTTTTTTTTCATTTTAAATATAAACTTTTTTTGTGGAAAGTATGCTTAATGTTTTATTATTTCCCCCACCCCATTCCCCTTGTAAATACGTTTTGTTCTGTGTGACTCGGTTCGGAAATAGTTAACTGGTACTGTAATTTGCATTAAATAAAAAGTAGGTTAGCCTGGAAATGAAATTTAAAAAATACCAAGTGTGTGGTCTTTATTTCAAAAAATTGCCCTGTTCTTCTCTCCTCCTCTCTCCCTTCTCTGACCCTTGTTCCTCACCCTCATGCCTCTTTCCACTCTGCAAGAATAGGTGGACGTGAATCTTTGTAATAATAAAGAAAAACCTCAAGAAATGAGCATGTTTTCTTAAATGAGCT